CCATGAGCCTGAAGATGAACACACAGAACAAACCGCCTAATACAATTACAATCAGGCCAGACACCAGCGTCAATTCTACTGTCACCGACATTGTACTTCCGCAGTGTTGACAGTTCCTCAATATAGATCACAGAATACAACAAATACTCAATTTAATCTCCTTAGATAGGATGGAATTAATGTCTTAAAGTCTAAATCTAATGATGAGATAAAGGTGGAAATTGATTGAATACTTAGCAACCTTCTTCCTCACCCAGGGCAGTGACATACACAGTGCAATAACAGCTGACTCTGGGTTCCAGTCATACAGGTGATTCAATAATGCCATCTTGATAAAAGAGACTTCTTATGATCTTTGCACAAACACAGAAAGATGTACATGTATGCCCAATATTCCTATAAATGTTGACAGTATCATTATTTGCAAGTTTCTTCTGTTTGCTGGCTTCCTGTACACAATCTATACAGATGTCTCTTCATGCTAATATCAGCTGCTCTGGATCAGACAGATAGTTGATTTGATATGGCACCATCTGAAAATGAAAGGACAAAATGTTAATCGGATATTTTTATTTCAACCAAGCCATAATTATGTAAATACAACACTATAATTATGTAAATAAAACATTATGATTTTTCAAAATGTGGTGGATGTCAAAGTTCTGTGTGCACGTGGGACTTGCTGATTTAGTCGGTTTTATCTTTGTCTCAAAGTTTCCAAAAATAATGAATGGTTGCCGCAATGAAAAAAAAATTACTATTTGATAAATTGATAGGATTGTTATTTTAGAATGTTTTTTCTGCTTCAATCTTATGTTTTTTAAACTTAAAATACTTCTGAAGTTCATTCCTTCTGGATAATTTCTCCCATAGAATGTCTTTCAGGAGAGAAGAAAAAGACAAAAACTCTCCCATTTTCTGTCTTTACTCACTCAGACATGTACATCAATTTGGTTGTAATTATTTTAGTCAAAGTTACAATTTCATTATTGATTTATCAGCTAGTTTTTTTTTCATTTCCTTTGTATCATATATGTATGCACAATGCATATATATCACTGTCATTTCTTCTATTGTTGGTATGGAGATGGTTTAAAGGAATGAAACACACTAGTACAGAAATGAAACTGGTCAAATCAGGGGATCTCCCCTTATTAATGTTCTATAATATGACATTGTTTTGGTCATTAATAATATTAGGCATTTTGTGCAAGACTTTTGAGGAGTGAAAATATCTTTTCCATTCTACAGTTCTACCCATCACTGACAATTATCAGTGGACAGAACTGAGTTATACAGATGACATTTGAGTAATACAGGACTGTTGAACACAGTTTTATGTTGAGTTGTTAATTTGGTACCAAATCATGCTGTATTGCCATTGCATAGCAATATTTTGATAATACAGGGGAGACAAATCCTCCACCAAGCAACAATTCAGATTTAATTGATGTCATCAACATGGCTTATTTGCGCTACAAGAGATCCGAGATAAATCCTTGAGCCAATCATTATAAGATCTAAATCTTTTAGTTCTACATAAATTTTACCTTTCTGACTGTACATGTCTTTTCTCTTATGCTCAACAAATGGTTATCTTCTGAACCGACAGCCATTTTATTACTTTTTTTGCCATTGAAATATAGGAAAATATATATTTGATAAAAACTTATATCATCACAACCACACTCACTTTAAGTCACTGCATTGAAATTAAGATTTTAGGTGTATATAATGAAGGTCGAGTGAATTGGTTTTCTATCAAATAATTCCTGTGTAAATTTCTGGTTTTCTCTAATTTGGTATTTAGAAAATTTTTAAGTTGATTTTTACAACATTGGAAGAATACCACATAATACTGTCTTTGTCTAGTTGCCAATGGTAATGTCAAGAAAAAATATAGATATTCTGTCATAAAAATCCTCTACATGCCAACTTACAATAAATCAGCCAAGAGTTAATGTTGTGTTTAAGTATCCTGGGGACTTTTCAATGGTCTGTATAAATAATAATAATAATATCACGCCTTTTTCCATGCACCATGAATCCTGCCAACTGCTTCAGCTTACCTTGCCCTACAGTGTATGGATACTGCAGATTGCATTTGTTTGGTACATTTGTGCACATGTAGTTGATTTTTTGGGCTCGATACAGTTTACTTCTTAAAAATTCAACTAGCTCTCCCATAATATGAAGATAACCTAAATCCAAAAGAGATGGGAAAAGGACTGGCCCTACATCTATGTAACTTCAACAAGTAGTTTATTTTTTGCGAACGATGGGTCAATGGGCCTACTTCAGTGCATGTACATTTTTATAGTCACAATGTCACCGACTGACAGACCGATCATAAATAGAGAGTCATTGTCAAAGCGATGCTGTGACAGGTAGGTCCTATACTTCTATTGCAATAATATCGGTCGCAAACATCTATGATACATCTAAAGTTTCGTACAAAAGGTTCATTCTCATGTATTCCGCGGCAACTTCTGTGATCTGATATGCAAATGAACTCACAAAAATACAAACGTTCACCATCCCGCCATATTTGTCTAAGTAGAGAGTTTCCGAAAGGTTGATCCTTTATAATAGAGTGAACCGTAGTCAATATCGTCCGGAATTGTCTTAATTGCAAGGTACTTTCATAATCTACATGGTAGTGAAAATAAGTATTGTTATGATAAATTCTATTGACGTTGGACTATTGATGATGTAATGCAGATAGGACATACTTTTGATTAGAAATTTTGTTCGTAACAAAAGTAGGAAAATCAATAGAAGGGAGACAACCATTACAAAAATCAGAATGAAATCGTAGTAAGGATACATGTATAATGATTTAAAATGTATGGTACTGACTTAAAAAATTAAACCGTGGAAAATACTAGTCAAAATTTTGTTACAATATACGTAATACGAAACACAGATTTAAAAAAATGTGTATGTATTGTTTCACCTTTTATGTTTTTATTTCTTTTTTCATCAATTATGATTCTTGAACTTGATCAGTGTTTTTATTCATTTCCAATCATCACTGAATAAATAAATCTTAATGTACAGAAAAAGGCGATACCACATAAACATTGAAATTCTGCTGTTAAACGATCTATGAATTATGAAAAAATAAAAACAAAAAATGGAATGTGACTTGTGATAACTGAATGCAGCATAGTTGCATTATGACGTCTTGAAATATAATTTAATCTTTTGAGTAGTGTCTGACACACTTTGCCACTTAATTGAACACCATGTATACCTAGTGGTATATATTTCAACAATGAGTTCTGAAGACTTGTGGATTGACTAACATTTCAATACATGGGCTATGTCATAAAATAAGTCCTTTCACCATTAGATGTACCTACCATGACTATTGGGACTAGTCGTTTTCAGAACACGGAACAATGGAGGCGTGTAACCATCTGATTCGACATAATTAAGACCAGCAACGAATTGGAAAACTTAATCAAATTATATCCAAAGACTAATTAGAAGACAAATTATGAGTCATCTACATCTGTATGTTTTCTACATATCGTCAATACACTGTAAATCATTAGCGGTTTCATTTTCTCTTAATACCACCCCATGTGGTCTCTTCGTTGGACTCTTTACAAATTATCGATTAAAGCATTACACTGTAGTTTTTACACACGCCCTAAGTTTTTACTTATTTTGTGTTTTAGAACTACTGCACGGAGTTGCAGAAACTGTTATGTAGGATATTGCAGAATATTAAGGCGTATTCATAAATTTTGAAAAAGGCAAGAAAGGGTTTTAATCATACATGGATGATCGAGGTTAGACAAATATTACGATAAAAATAATACATTTGACATGGGAAACAAATATATTGTTGTTTACGTTATAATGGCGACCATAAGGAGCATGCGCTTCTTTTATTCAGTCTTATATACATAATATGTACACCAAGCTGGTTAAATCAGAGACACATATAACATATATATGTCTCTGGCTAAACGCAGCTTTCAATCAGCGAGATTAAAAGTGAATCACTTTACCAGCTTTCTTTGACATGCGCACTAGACATGTTGTTATTATCGAGTATTTGTGTATTGATAACATTGAGGTTAGGTTTTTGTTGACGTGTACCCATGTCCAAATAACACTTGCCAATCTATAACGATACACACAGATATCCATAACCCCTGACAACCCTTATCTCACTACCCACTTTCTAATTTCTGACCACCCGAATAATAAAAGACAACGTTTATTTAATTTTCATAATTCATGCGAACAAAGAGGACATTATATGCAGCGATGAGGTAAATCCGACGGTGTAACATTTAAATTGGTGTGTGACAGGTACGGAGCCGACGTAGACTCTTAAACCGTTGTTGTACAGGTGAGATCTGATTTTGCAATGAACACGATTACAAAAGTAACTTGGGGCGTTGACGACAGAAATTTCGAGTAACTACAACTTCGAATAATGAAAACGGTAAGTTTTTTGCTTTATTACTTCTTAAAAAATCAAGTTGAAAGGTAAAATTCTTATTTCTAAAGGTCTAGGAATAATTCCAAATGTTTTGTGTAGTTTGATTTGATTCCCAATTTTTGACACGACGTCCTGGTAACGTTTGTTTCAATTGACGTGATTTGCTTTATTCTAAATTCGTTTGTTGCGTTACTTTTAAATGTCTGGTTTTCTCAAGATTTACCTTGTTCAGGTAACATTACGTTATTAAAGGTATCACGGTTGTAAATAGTCATAGTCTACACCGTTCTGTTTGAATTTATCATTGGTAAAGTGGAGGAGGGGAGGGGAAAGGGGGATTGGTGTTATTTACACCAGTTGCACTCGAAAAGGATATTTTGGCCAACATACAATGCACAAATAAATTTGAAATTGAGATAAAGCGTACTTAATGTAAATTACTTAATGGAGCAAGACTAGTCACCTTAAGGAGATTGATGTGGTTTTAAAAACACGTTTGTCTCTCCGTCCTCCAGTAACCAAAAAACGTCAGGACAAGATGGGGTCCGGAAAGTCTAAGGTCAAAGTCAAAGACAGGCCTGCTACACCGGACTATGTAAGTAATTTCAGTGTAAATACAAAACCAAGGAAACTGTTTTATATAGTCGTTTTATATTTGTAAGTTTTGTAAATTTGGGGAAATCGTTAACAGAATACTTACGTATATTGCTGTTGGTTGATATTGTGTTACATGTATTTATTTGCTGCCTCTCGTTTCCTGTTCTGTTAGAAAAAGGTTCCGTCCATCCTGAACGAGTATCCTCCTCCTAGTGTTCCAACCTCACACCGGAGGGATGTCGTCAAACCCGAACGTCTCAAGAAAGTTTCCAGGGCAGCGTTAATGGTTAGTGTCGATATGTCAAAATTACAAGGCAAATGCAGATGTTCAATAAAAGTGAGGAATTTGAAAGCAAATACTTATGTGATTGAGAGGTTTGTATGTCCATTTGTAGGTACCAGTAGACTCGATGGCAGAGAGTTATGACGAGTTCCTGAGACAGCTGACTCGGGCGGCACAGGATGACGTAGAGAAGGTTTGGTCTATCTACATCTGGCTTGGGAGTATGACGTCAGAGCTTGTCTCAAGTCAAGGGTCCTCAAACACACCCATGGGATACCTCAGAATGGTCAATGACAGAAAAGGGGACATAACAACATTCTTCACTCTTCTTTGTCGGTATGACAGTTTTCCTTCCAAAAAAGTAATTATCAGTGAAATCTTAAATGAATTTAATTTAAAAATTAAATTGATCATGCCAAGTGCATTTTTCTGTTATTGAAAGACGATATGCGTCGTTGAAATTTCATTTCGAAATTAACACTTGTACTCTAAACAATTTTTTCTCAAAACATTGACATCGTCTCCGACAGCCATTGCGGTATACCGTGTGTGATGATTCAAGGAGTGACTCGAGCAGAAGCAGTCGGGCAGATAGATGCGAACATTACAGACGATATGAAAGATAAATGGGCTGCTGTGTTTCTGCAGGGCAGCTGGAGGTTTATTCATGTTACCAGAGCCAGGGATCCGAGTGTTAAGGTCAGCTCAAATCACTAATACAAAGTGTTTTATATTTGTGATGTTGATAAGTGTCTTCATTGTCAACCTCACGTGAAAGCTACATATAAAATGGCCTGAACTTTAAAGGTATTTCAAATCAGTACTATTACGTAATATGTCAAAAAAAGTGGCAAGACACTCTAAAGACATTTGTATCATTTGCCTAGCATTATAAAGTATGTTTGATGACTTAATTATTGAAATTCCATATGGCTTGTAGGTGAAAAACCACTTCTTTTTAACGGAACCGGATGAATTCATCTTTACGTGTTTACCAGATCTTCCCGAATGGCAACTACTCCCAAAATCATTAACCGCCACCGAGTTTCTCAATCAACCGTTTTGTTCTCCGGAAATGCTCAGCAATGGTATTCGTATTGTGAACCCCAAAACGGGCCGAATTCGTAGTAAATCTGGTAAAGTATTAATAGAAATCTCCTCCCCACGACAGATAGGACAGAATCTAGCAGTGAGTTTTTTCTTAAGAGGGCTAAGGGTGATAGAAGCCGAGTCATGTGATGAAGGGTTTGCAGGAGTCAAAAGCAACAACGACCACGATGATTGTAACGACGATGACGAGCTAGGCGTCAGTCCATCGCTTGCAACACAGTTTCCACCGTTGTTAGAACGATATGTTTATCAGACTACTAAGAACAACCATGTGTTTTTTGATATCGTCCTTCCAGTTCCGGGTATCTACCAATTTGATGTTCATGGGGACCTGCTGGACAATGTGGACGACTTTGCTGACATGCCTGTGATGTGTCAGTTTAAGCTGATATCTGGGAATGCTCCGTTTCCGGGACAGCTCGACCCCCTCCCACTCGCTCCTTCACTTGGTTGGGGACCAACGCCATACCTTTCAAAGCTTGGTATGAAAACAGTTAGTCATAAGGGAGGCCATATCTATGTCATCCCAGAGGATGTTGTTACCGTCAAGTTCGAAACAATGGACGACTATCACTTCAAAGTGGAACTCCATCATGATCTTGTTACCAGGGACCATTTGGAGGATCACGTGAGCCACCAAACTGAAAATGGCATTCTTTATGTAAGTTTGTCTGTTCCCGAGGAAGGACAATATGCCCTACTTGTATTTGCCAAAAGAGACGAAGGTTCCCTGGAGGATTATGAGAATGTGTGTAATTACCTGGTTATCTGTAGCAGACAGGCATCCACCGAGACTGAGGTTGGTATTTCAATCCTGTTCCAAGTTAAGGAGGATGGACAATGGAAGTTTTGTGCTGTTTTTCATTTTCTTTCTGATGCCCATAAATGACTAAGATAAAAATACATAAAAACTTCTATTTATACTTTGTATGCCAATCACTGGCTGGAGTATTCGGTAATCCGTAAGTGCACATCGTGTTTAAGATAACTATCTTAGTCTATTAATTCGGTACTGGATATGTCAGTTCTTCCTTTTAATATAAAACAACAACATGTCAACAAAACCATGATTCATACTAAAATTAAATGAAACCATAAACAAAAGAAAGATTTAAATGGAGACTCATAGAAAATTGCAATGTGAATAAGACCAGGTGTTCCGATAGAGTAAGCGTCTTCTGCTTCTTGGTTAATCCAAGTAAGTAATGTCATGTGTCCAATTGTGAACACAGCAACAAACACAAAAAAGTAAGCTTTTTGAAGTTTGACAATATTGTCATTAACAGTAATCCCAACGTTACTCATGTAAAAGTGTTATTTTTTTCCACGGTGGAATAAAATCCTTTTCATTCAAAATGCTTCCTGTTTGGTAAAAACCTGGAAATTTGAACCTATATAAAAAGGTATTTACTTTTCTGATAGACCACAAATAGTACAAAATGAAAAGTTAGATTATATCACCAAACCAAGTTCAATTTTAAATACAAACACTCATTGTGCCATTGACGATATTTTTCGAGTGGATGAGTCATGAAATCCAAATGATCACAGTTGATGGTATTTTACAGGAATTTTTCCAGTATGCCTTTCTTTGTCATGACTGTCTTGAGAAGGCCAGTGTGCATTTTCTTATGTTCATATGTTGTAGAGATATCCGAAACGAGTGTTGAGGGAGCGACTGGAGCAGCAGACAGAATCAGGAACATATGACGGACTTTGGGCCGCACTGGAAGCTTTCCTGCTTCACAATGTTGAAGACAGGGGTGAAGTTGACAGAGCTAACCAGAAACTTCACTATTTCAAACTCAAGAAAGGTGACTAGCAACACTATCACTTTGATAATATCTCTTCAAGAAGAATTGAATCGGCAAGGATAAGTATACTTAAGCATTGAGTTGCAACAACAGTTTAATTTTCTATTTTCTGTGTCGAAATATTTTAAGTGCTTCACAAATAGATTAAGATTTATAGTGGATAAGAATCATTGGTACCAAGAGTAATGAAACACTTTTGGAAGTATTGGTGTGGAAAGGAAGTCATTTCAAACATTTTATTGTCCATTGTGTACAAGTTTTGTTAATTTGTATACACTGATATGTCAAAGTTCAGTTCAATTGAACTGTTTTCTCGTTAACGAGCATGTCATATTTTTGTTCTAGAACTTAATGCAGTATTGGCATGGCTTATTACAATAAATAGCACTGATAACTCTGGCAGTCTCCTATCTAACTTTTATTAAGTAGAGTTAACTAAACTTTATGTAACTATCAGGGAGTTATAGTCGTAGCCAGTCAGCTGCATAACTTCTTAAACATAAAACATTCTATAAACGTCTTTTTGCCATGACGATTAAGAAAATGCAGCCTCAAACACTGGAACACCTTTATCGCAAACCTTTTCTTTTCCGACTCCGGTTGTCGCCCGAACCCTTTTGGGGAGACACTGAGAGGGGAAAGTTTTGATAGTTGAGTAAAACAAAGTGTCTTGTGACATTGCGAAACGTGATTACACGTGACCACGCATGCGAAACGAATCCATCTCCACAATAATCTATGGACAACAATAAAAAAAAAGGTAATCGAACGACAAAGATTAAATGCAACCATAAAATACCAACTCGTGAACAGAATCATAATTCAAACTCAAGTTTAAAAAAAAATGGACAAAATATGAACAAAAGAAAATTTACACTCAGAGGAAATAAGATTAGGTGATAAAGGACTCAGAACATTGTCTCATATTGTGATAATGAAAAAACCTTCAGAAATGCGAGCACCTATATGATGACTTGTTTTTCCCTTGCACTAGGCCTATTGGACACGTTGAAAAGACGAAACCTGTTCGTCCTTAAAGAAAGCATATGGCAGGCCAGAAATTCTAAATTCGAGTCGGAACTACAACCAGAAATACAGCGGGCAGAAGATTATCTTTGTCGACTTCAAAGGCTTGCCGGATACCTTCATCCTATTGAAAAGCTTGAATCAAAGGTTATCTCCGAGATTCGGAGTTACAGGAGCCCGAAACCTGTCATACAGGATGTCCTCATAGCGGTCTACTTGATGTTTGGGGAACCGAGAGAGTATTTACAGGTAGCAAAGTAATAGCATCAGTAATACTACTGTCAAAAATAGTTTTCGTATGTTTTTTTTGTTGATTTCTTTGAATTAATTTGTTCAAAATTGTTGAAAAACGTTTAAAATTGAGTTAAAGTTTCAGTGTACGGGTGGATTTAATGAATACAACGTAACCATGAAAGGTTTCCAGGAAAACACGATTTCACAATAAATGTTTTATAATATTCACACTTTAAAATTCACAAATTAAATAAGTGGACATGTCAGGGGACGCATTATATAAAGCCTGTATATATATTTCCGTGTGTGTCCTACATTGTCTTGAACAGGAGTGGGGATACATCCAAGTCCTAATGGCCCAAAGTGGCAAGGACAGTCTGCAGAAGAAAATAGCAAGCTTAGACCCAGATGACGTCACCATGGAGAGTGTGAAAGACGCAGAGAATGTCCTTAAACCCTATGATCTCCGTGCTGTAAGAGAGGCTAGCCCAGGTACCGCGGCTCTGTACGTCTGGGTAAGTGATACTAGATCAATGGCCATTTTAAATTCTAAACTTCATTTGTCGCTATAAACTTAACATAACATTTCATTCATGTTTGCAAATAACTGCTTTCAAAATATTTCTTCCTTGTTACGGAAAACCATTGCTTATTTTATACAATTATCGACATTTCCTTATTTGCTATACTCTACAAACTAGTGTGTATACAATTTAGTGATGGAAATTACAGATATTTATTCTTTAGATGTGATATGACGTCATACTTATACTTTACAAAACGTTTGATAACATGATAGGTATATGATTAACTAGGTAGAGTTAGTTTTGTAAGTAGAGATCTTAAGGAAAGCATTCAAGGTATATAGTTCGATCTCTAGCCGAGCAGTTTGTATTTCTCAGGAAGCTGAGATGAAACCATCACGTGTCGTCCTTGAGCACGACAGTTTATTGCAATTGTTGTATATAGCATGAGAGGAGCACCTTTATTATGGTGTTCAGTAAAGTAATCACCGGGTGAAATGACCAAAACTGTTCGCAGAGCGATAATAATACAAAAAACTGTCATAGGTCATGGTTATAAAATGACAGATTGATGGGAATTATGGTAAAGAGTAACGAAAAAAATCATAAATCTTTGGTAAGACTTAAACAATATATATGTATATAACATAGACTAACAGCGATTTAAGAATAATACCTGTTGTATTGTTGTACTCGGGAAAAAATAGGTCGTTTAATCAACGAAAATAAACCAAAGAAATTGCTTGTTATAGGTACAAAATATTTGTAAGGAGAAAAGGGAACCTACCCCACGGGAATCAACCACAAAAGACAGCACTAACACCAGAAAGAGTCTTGATACATTCCGTAAAGCTGTGATTCCCATGGAGAATTCGCATCTGAAACGAATGAGACGAGAACATCTTCCCAACGTGGCTGGAGGACGGGCGTAATTATACTTAAAAGACTGATGATTTAACAGCTATAAATGGAAATAGTTTGTACACAATAAATACCCATATTGATAGTTATCTATCAATATATTTCGAAAAACAAAATTTCCATAGAAATGATAATCCCAAATATGTTGCAGAAATTTTCTTTCTATCTTGTCAGCTTTCCATTATACTATATTACGATTTGTAATATAACATGTGTATCAAAACAGTTTGCAAATTGATATAGAATATGACATGGATATCTTCACATATACTAGCAATGTATCAACATTTGTGATGATGAGGTCAATAAAACCTACTGTATATTTACTACAACAACTGCCACTGATTTATCACGTGATATATACCATTTCCCAAGTATTGCAATGTTCTTAGCAGTGCTGTTCAGTATGTTGGACCTTACGTTTTCGCAGCGATATGTACCATAATGTTTATCCTCATTTTGTTTTATAACTTTCCTATTCATATTAATGTTATTTTTGAGAGCTATGAATTCTTGATTTCTTTCTATAAAAAAACATTAAAAATAACAAGGTATTGGTGCTTCAAGGGTATTTTTGTTTGGATTAATTGTATTTGCTACAAAAGCGAATAGAAATCAGTGATGCATGCTTGAGGAGATATAAATATTACCCTAATGTCTCTGTTTTAGTAAAAAATGATATTACATGCCGATACATTATCTGATTGTACAGTAGATATTCTATACATGTTTATAACCGATCATTAAATATTAAATTGTGATTTGTTTCTTGTCGTTTTAATGACAGATTATTGTTGAAAAATGTTTAAAAAACAAATAGAGATAACTTTCAATCGAAGATATCGGTAATAAAGAACCTTAAAGTCTATTAGTTCATTCTTGTTACTCTTTTCTTTTTGGTGACTATTACAGTGCCAGATAAACGATTGTGAAGCCAAGGATGTGATTGAACACCTTTATAAATTCTGTCGGAATAACGTACCAAAACTGACGAGATATTGGTTAATCTCCTTTCAGATCTCTTGAGGTTATCTAGTTGTTTTTCATCACGACTTGAAGCATTTCTGAATGACATATATTGACTTCAAATGCATATAGTTTCTGTATCGAATCTGATCTGACTTAGCCCTTTACATGTTGACGCTGTGGTACGTTGTGTGTGTGCGGTTGTGGTGTGTGTGAATATGTGTGTGTGAGTAAGGCTTTGTGTGTATGGATAAGTGGTGATGTGTGTGTTTATGTGGTGGTGGTGGTGGTGTGCGTTGGTATATGTGTGTGTGAAGTTGGTTATGTGTGTAGTGGTATGTGATGGTGGTGGTGGTGTTGTGTGTGTTGTTTTAAATTTCTAAAGGTTACATTTTCGCTGTACATGGTATAAAAAAGAAACTGATAAACTTCAGATTAACATGTCACCGAATATTAAGTACAAGCAACACATTTTGTAAAGATATGTAAACCTATCTGTCAAGGAACAGCTGCAGTAGGAATGGAGTATCTATTCAATGGATGAATTAACATTAATTACATGTGTCTCGTTAATGAAAAATAAATAAGAAAAAGTAATTCATTTTTAACTAGACGAAAATAATCATACTGAGAGTAACTATCAAAGAAATATCTGTCAGAGGGTAATCTTTCATCTCTTCCTTAGCACGGTGTAGTGTTAGACTAGGATAGTAACAACTGATCGATCTATCAATGAGCTGGATTCTGCACCTCTTAAGACAAACACTTATACTTCCTAGGTTTCGTTTTAGTAAACATTCCTTTTGGAAAACGATGGTTTTCAATCCTGTCAGTAAAGGTGTCCTTGAGATTTAATTTCATATTGATTGAACGCTTATGAATTTCAAACGCATATATCTTTTGTTACCCACCTGTAAATTGAAATCCAGTACAACGAAAAAATATGTTACCATTGGAATGTGATCAAACGGCGTTATACGTTATAGAGGTGGATTGGTACGACTTGATGTAACATTATACGCAAAATATAGTCGCGCTTGAGTGATTATACAATGGTACCACACTCTACATTACATATCAAGATATTTAATGAAGTTAAGTATCCTGCATTACGTATTGTACATGTAACACATACTCTATGTAAGTCGGTCTCATATATGGCAGCGATACCGATCAAACATTGATACACTGTTGATAGATCAGAAGTATGTTATCGTGTGGATATAACAGTTGCCTGTCATAGTTGTAGATTCTCTAAAGTTTTGAAGGTGAAATATCAGTAAAATAATTCACTACTATTAACACTGGACCACTTTTTGCTTACATGCAGCCTATATTTACCGATATCGAATCAGTTCATTTCTAATTTTAAGTATGTGGACATATTTTTTATACCAAAGGTTTCCTCATATATACAACAAACAAGCACATGAACTAATTTGTCATTGATTTGTTTCTAGTTTATTTTTCCTTCGCGCAGTAGCTTTTCGTTGTCCATGGCCTTTTCAAAATTCCCCCTCTACCTTTAGATATACTGTCAATCCACATATTAGGGCATTAGAGAGGAATATTTTACACAATGAGGTTTTTATGACGCACCTGTTCAATTTGGTATAAATCTGTCTCGAATTACGCATCCAGTTATATACACTGGTAGTGCTAAACGGAAATCTATTGATATAAATGTGGGTACTTGTGATGTATCAAACTTTATCTTAGACAGGACTCATCATAGATATATCAACGAAAAGTCCACAAAAACGCTGATGTGTTTCAACATTGTAAAGGCTGAGTTTAATCAATTATGAACAGTACTGTTCCTTTTGTTTCAAATCACAAAGGGGATTGCGATATTAATATCAATAATTCGATAATATACTAACGCATCAGGAAATGTTTTACTGTTTTAACTGATATAAATCTAAAAATTCTTTAACTTCTTATAAAACTGTTTATAAAACTTTTGCGAAATACATTTTTTTTATATAAATTGATTCCCTCAATACCATATAATGATAAATGTTTGCATTCATACAGGTCACTAAAATATGAAGCTGCACATAAAACAACAAGGGAGGTTTTAGAGAATTTCACAGCACTGATGAAACTGGCATTGAAATAGTATGGTATCTATGAGATTATTGCCTGTGTAAACACTGAAAACCTTCGCCCGTACAACATACATTTATGTATCTAATATTACAACATGGATACTACCGACATAAGAGATAAGACATCGGTAGACGATTGTAAGTTTTATATTGGCCGCGGTTGATTATTTCAATAAATATTGTAAACCATTCATCATAGGACATATTTGATTTATGTTTTTTTGAATATTTAAGTCGAGTATGTTTGAATATAATTTGAGCGATTAAATGATAATATTTTGTCCTGTTAAGCTCCATATATCAGGGTTACAGGGTGTATGTAAAACACAGACATATAAATAGTCTATTGTTGGTAATTGTTATTAGTCAGTGAGCGCGTATAATTGATATCGGAAACATCGTACTACTATTGTTACAAGACGATTAAACAGAGCGGCCTAACAACATTCCCAGTGTTCAAATCTTAATTTAACAAAAGTAACGGGATAAAACACCATGGATATGGACACTGACGGAAACAACTGTCCTTAGACAGGGTATGTATATAACACTTGCAGTGAAAGAATGATTGGATGTGACATGAAAAATCCATTTACTGTTACTCATGAATAGATATCCACATGGCAGTTATATTTGGTAATGACTAAAACATGTCAAATCAAAGATAAAATACATATGTTTGATATGGTGTCATTTCGCAAGTTTAAATATCAAATTAAACAAAAAATTCTATTTGTTAACAAAAATGTGTTTTTGACATTATTTTTTGTATAAACCTGCCACAATATTTCTAATAAATCTGCAAAATTAAAAGCGATTTTTCTGTATAATCAGTACAAATATAAAAAAAAAACCCAGAACGAGTGTTAGATGTCGATTTATTACATAGAAGTAAAAATGAATTGACATTGACAGTATTTAATTTAAGAAGAGTGTTCTTTTTGTCTTGCTCTGCTTGTAATTAAACGTATAAAACTCTTTATTATTAATAAGATTGTTGCCACAATTACGTCATTTCCTGTTTATAACAACCCAGAGAATATTCTAGCAGATTGCCAAGTTTTTATCCATAGTTGATATATGAAGAACCACGATATATATAAACCAAGGAATACTGACAATAATAAGAGACATTTAATAAAAAAAACTTTGAAGACAGCGTGTGCTAATAAAATTCTACTCACTGAATACTTTATTAACATTATCAAGCTTATTATTACATGTTTGATATCGATGGAATCGACTTTTACATGCATCAGAATAATACACATTTCGTAAGCTTAAGTTTTTTTTTTTATTTATTTATCACACTATCATGTCATAACGTGTTGCTTTCTAGTTACTAATTACTATTGGGCAGATGACACAACAATAATTCTGCTATCTCATTAGGCTTAAACAATACGCGTGTTCGCACATTTCCATGCCAAGGGGTATATAATGTTTTATCACGTTTTTGTCTTTTTGTTTAGCTTTTGCTATACTGACATTTCGTACCTTGTTATTACGTGTTTGCTTTTTATTTACTTCCAATTTTGTTAATAGATAAAGACATGTGGTTTGTCTTTCCTTTCTCGAACGCCTCAAAACTGCATAATTGTGTTAACTTAGGACAGACAAATATCGCTCCTTGGGTAGAGACAGCGTGAGCGCTATTATTCAAAGGAGGATCTTAACCAGCATGACAGCTTAACCACATAATAATTGGATAAAGCTAATTTTGATATATTTTTCATGGACCATAACTTACGATTCGAAAGTTTGGGGGGAAAATATAGAGAACTTCGGTGTGATCTTGACAGAGTCATCGCTACCCTGGAAATAATAATTTTATCTATGTCTATGTCAAAAATAGGCGAA